TGATTATTGTGTACCCAGACACTGTCAGTTGACCAGAATTCCAGTGGGATGCCTTTTTGGCCTTTGGAAGTGACAAGGTAGATCATTGGAGAGGGGAGAAATAAAGAGTCATCACTCAATATGAAAGAAGCCCAATAGATGTTCAATTTAAAAACTCTCAATTAGGACTTAAGCGCTGCAAGATCTTCCTCTTGATTATCTAGATTTTTAACCTTCCTTATTTGTCACTTGCTTTCTTTTTTTTTTTTTTTTTTCCTATGGACTTAAGTCATTTCTATATTTAGTCTTTTTATGATTCTAATCACCTTTTTTTTTTTTTTTTTTTTTTAGTTTCAGAGATTGGTCTCGAGAATAAAGATGGAATTTCTTTCTTTTTAGATATGTATTTTGTACAAGGCTCAGCATTACAGCCACACACTGTTTTCTAGATTTTTTTTCTATACTTAGTTGTTGTTATTTCATTCCAGTTAATATTGTATTCCTTAGATATTTTTCCAGTTATTTGTTTGGATCATTTAAACATTTATTTTTATATCATTTTTTTTTTTTCACATATTTTTATAGCACCATTCATACATTTTTCTTTTTATATTATTTCCCCATATCTATTCCAGTAGATATGTGGCCTTATTGTTATTGTGCATCTTGCAAAGCATTATTACTACTGCAATAGGCAAGGCTATTTTGTTCTTGCATGTTGTTCTTCCGTTCACTACATTTCTCATAATTCTACAACGATATGGGTGGCTCCATCATATCACAGCTACCACCTAGAGGAACCGGAAGTAATGGTTATTACGTAATTAGACTACAAACCCTGAAATCAGGTATGCAGTCCAGCATGACACGCATGCCATCCCAGCTGCTGATCTTTGCTTGCAATTCAACCAGTATTTACGAGAACACCGCGAACTACAACTATACATCCCTGAGGAAGTCCAAATAGAATGATAACACGTAGGACTTTTATTTTGTTTTTATATATTTATTTCCTTTGTATTTGAAGTTCTTCATATGCACGTTTGGAGCTTCCTGCTGTTTGCCTGAGTCCAGATACCACACTCTTTGTGGAGATAGGCTGAATTTCATGTGATGTCTTTGTAAGTGCAATAGTGTTAAATGCATTTGCAATTTTTTATACCATCTGCACTATATCATCTTTATTTTTCATCATTTAAATGACCAAGAAGACCTGTTTAAAGATCGTCTACATACATTTTCTCACCCCATTTGAGAGGTTAACATGCCTGATTTTCCATCGATTCGGTGAGTTCTCTACCACCCCCATGGCTGATTACACTGCACTATCTTTTTATTTTTTTCTTCAATATCTTTTAATGTATTGATTTTTGCCTCTTATACGCAGGTTGTATGTATTTATTATTCACTTTTGGTGATATTTAAACTTTTTTTTTTCCCTTTTTTGTTTTTTTCTGGTTATTATTGGAAAAGGCAGGACTGAAACACAGCACTATGGCACTAATCATAGCAACACAGGAACAGGCACTCAGCACCAGATCAACAGGTGCAGGGTGTACCACACCACGCAAGACCCAAGGTGCAGACTGTGCAAAGAGGACCCTGAGACAAACCAGCAAATTTTAGCCGGCAACAAGATGTTGGCAGGAACATCATACATTGAGAGACACAACCAAGTTGCTGAGATTGTGTACCAAAAAATCTGTACACAATATGGGCTGGACCTGCCTAAGTCCAGATGATAGGTACCACAAAGGGTAGTTGAGAATGACAGGGCTAAGATCCTGTGGGACTTCCAGATTCAGACAGACAAGAAAGCAGTGGCCTACCAACCTGACATTGTGATTGGAGGCAAGAAATAGAAGACTGCAGATTTGATGGATGTGGCAATACCCAGTGACTATAACATCAGGAATAAGTAACATGAGAAGAAGGACAAATACCAAGAAGTGAAAGAATAGCTTGAACGGATTTGGAAAGTGAAGGTGTAGTAGTGCCAGTTGTGATAGGTGCACTCAGGGCTGTGACCCCCGAGTAGGGGGAGTGGTAACAACAGATTACAGGTGGGACATCTGCGATCATTGTCCAGAAGAGTGCAGTTCTAGGAACTGCTTAGATACTATGTAAAATCCTCAGACTCCCATGCCTCTGGTAGAAAACCCAAGAATGAGGAATATATACCACTCAGGAGGGGTGAAAAAAATCTATTTAATTTATTTATAATCCAGAACATCCCAACAAAAATACTAAAGAATTACATTTGCATGACCTATATTTGATTGTGTAACTTTCCAAAACCCCATAAAACCTGGGACATCACAGTATGCAAATATGTGTGCTTTATTCCAGTAAAAGAGAACCATATTATGGCAATTACAGTTAACATTCCATGCAGAACTTAGCAAATAAAATGTCTTAATTACTCACACTTTTTTTTTTTTTTTTTAAACTTTATTTAGTTATTTAAATTAGGTTTCATACATACATATTTAATGTGAAATTGGCATAAATCAGCCCCAATGCCTAAGCTAACGAACGACAAGCAGTCTGAGATTACCAATGCAGATCAGTCACAGCTACATTTGCAAAAGATCTCATGCAGAGAAATTCAATTTTAGACCTGTGCCTGTAAGTCTCATTAATTGACTCATTAATAATTTATAAATGAAAAATCAGCGCAGACCTAATCAAATCCTATCAACGTTCCTGATGCTCAGTGTGCCAGCAATTACCAAACAAGTCGCAACCTTAATCAATGAATCCTTGATGACTGGATACATACCCAAACTTTGGAAGACTGCAAGAGTAGTACCTATCCATAAAAATGGTGACGATACTTCGGTATCTAAGTACAGACCGATATCATTGCTCCCTGTATTGTCAAAAAAATTAGAAAAATGCATGCAACTATGTATTATCAACAATCCAGCTATCTGACAAATCTCTCAACTTGCAACAACATCCAAACTGGCATGCAACAAAGAGACCTAACAGGAGCTATTTTCCTTGATTTCTGTCAAAACCTTTAGATCAATGGCATTCTATTGCAAAAGTGTAAACACTCAGGTATTGGTGACCGTCCACTAACCTGGTTTCAGTCATATGTATCCATTGCAATATGTGTCCATTACTGACAGCTCCTCCCTCTTCCAGTCATGTGTGGTTCCCCAAGGCTCCATACTCGGCCCCCTACATTTTTCATAACGTCTGCAAAGCCTCAACTGTTAACATGTATGCAGATAACACTGTAATCTACTACGCTAGCAAACCAAAGTAACCGCAGCTTGAGGCTATACTCCAAGACCAGTTTGCAGAGGTAGAAAAGTAGATTGCAGATAACTAGCTTTTCCTAAACACTGACAATACTGTCACAATGATTTTTGGAACAGTACCTAAATTACATTAATGTAAAATATTCAGAGCTATGCATCAAAACAAAATCATGTTGTACACTGGTTCACTCTTTCAAATATCTAGGTATGTTGCTAGACCCCAATCTATCTTTTGGCCTCCACATAAAACTCTCATGAAAACTTTATCCAAAACTGTGCTCTGTACAGAAAGCAGATTGTGCAACAAATGCTAATGCCGGTCTTTGAATATGTTGATGTAGTGCATAGACTTATGGTGCTTATGATGTATAACTTGTTCTCCTGCTTTGTGCTACAATGTGATTACATGACCCACTATTGTGACACATTAAAAGACCTAAATTGACTATTGCTAGAATCCAGACGCACCATGCATCTTTCAAGCCTTGTGTGTAAGAGATTTTCTGGGAAGCTCCCACTCTGTCTGAGTAGAATGCTCTCCTCAGCCATTCCCACCTCCTATAATATCAGATTTATTACCAGGACTTTATTTAGTATACTGCATTATGAAAAGAATGTATCACAATCCTCATTTTCCTAAAGAGCATCACAAGTACAGAACAACCTCCTGGACATAATGAAATCTTCCTCCACATTAAAAAGAGACCCCTTTGTAAATATGACCATTTAAATATCACTTTGTATTTTTAATAATATACTGTGTATTTTAATATTGCTATGTCTTTTTAATATAATATTGTTCCCTACAGTAACAATGCAATGTTTGTGGTCCCAGGACATACTTGAAAACAAGAGAAATCCCAATGTATCCTTCCTGATAAAATATTTTATAAATAAATAAATGAGCGTGTACATCGTTCCCATAGCATAATCTTCTGGAGAAAGAAGCTATTGTCAAACACAAAAACATTATTGCACAAAATAGTTACTTCAGTATAACGACATCAGATTGAATGTTATTTTAACTAAGGTGTATATGATATGTCATTACTCTTTGGGAATTAGATATTTATCTGACCCCTTTTTCAACAAGAGAACAATGAGAAAAATGTTTTAAACAATAACAAAGTAAAACCAAACAAGGGAATACACGTTTAAGTATAAGAAGGTATAACATTTGAAATAGCTGTGGTAGAAGTAACTGCAGTGCTAGTGGAACCCACAACATGAGTAGATCCAGCATGAATAAGATGGGGGGGGGGGGAAATTGCATTGTGGGATGTAATAGACATGCTGCTAATCCCAGCAGGGTGTCGACAGTCTTCGTAGCAGATAAAGAGGTGTTCCACTGCTCTCAAAGGTCATGGCACTATTGCTGATGGTGGATTGGATCCCTTTCCCTACCCTTCCTCAATTTCAGCTTGAGAGTAGAATGTGACATTGGTGAGATTTTTTTCTTATTACAATAATAAGGTATATGAATGATAAAGTAATACAACTTTATTCTGCAAAAATAGGTGTTTGTGTCGTAAAATTGGTTAGTCAGAAAAATATATTGAATTAAGATTTTCCTTCATCAAAACACGTAACAAAAAAACAACTTTAAACAACTGTGTATTGGCAAAATAGTCTCACAGTTGGAGCAATAACAAAATGTTGGAGTAAAATGTTGATTCTAACGTGAGACTAGGTTTAGCTTACTGCTTTTATAAAGCAGTAAATACTGACAGGGGCAATAGAAAAAGCTTTGAATGGGAGGTAGAAGATTGACAGTTGGTAAAACTGTCAACTGTCAGTTAGTAAAACTGTCAATGTTCTACCTCCCATTCAAAGCTTTTTCTAGTACTCCTGTCAGTATTAACTGCTTGATACAGCAGTAAGCTAAACCTAGTCTCAAGTTTGGTAAAGCTGCTTAAACACCACCAGAATCTCCCTTAGCGCTTAGTGAATTTGTCCCAAAACAATGTTTAGGTATAATAAACAAATATAAAAATATATAAAAACTCTGTCCAAAGGTTCTTTTCTTAGGTGTCGGGGGGAATGATATTGACTGTAATGCTTAAATTGCAACAGTGTCCAGTTCCTAATTGGTGTGATCACCTCTGTATCAAATCTTTAATATTGTTTTGACCTTAAAAATAATAGAGAGATGGGAACATAGTGTGACACAGTTTATTAATTATTAAAATTGTCAGGGCTCCGCAGGCGGCTGTGAGGGGAGGCTGCAATCCACTTGCAGCACTCACCCTCACTCCTTCGTCGCCCACGGTCTCCCCTTCCCCTACCTGTCGGCGAGCGGCGTCCTCACTGCCATATGCGCCGCTCGCGTCCTCCTCCTCGCCTCCCAGCGGCAGCATGTATAATGCTGCACGCTGGGAGCCCGCGCATTTATGTGAACACCGGAGTCAGTCACATGACCCGGCGTTAAAGCAACAGTACCATAATCACAGTGGGAGGTATAGATATCTCCCACGTGTGATTGTTAATTCTAATTGGAAGTTATCCAATCAGAATTAAGCAAAGGATATATATACTTACCTTTCCTGTCTCTCAGTGCCCTGTTGTGGTCTTGTGTTACCTGTAGTGCAGTTCGCTCGTGTTGCTCTCTGGTCACCGATTATTTGGCTTATTTCGGTTCTCCTATGTTCTCCACTCCTTTGACCTCGGCTTGTTTCTCGTTCTCCTGTTTTCTGGCTCCCTTTACTTGGCTTGTCTTCTGACTATTCTTAGTGTGCTTAACCCGGCCACTCTAAGGACCGGTATAGCACCATTCCTCTCTGTGACCTGTTAGCGTGTTAGGCTCCTGAATCGTGACAAAAATCCTCCTAAACCGTCTATATCAAAACTCTTACAAGATAATATGTTGGTGCTCATCTCCAAGTACCACTAATAAACCATACAGTATAGTATGCAGGAAACAGTTCAGGGTTACAGCTCCGTGGGTTCACTGCTGTGGTCCGCTCAGTGCACTTGAGCCGGGTGAGATAGCTTGTCCCTCTGAAGAACGCCGTACCCTGCTCCCACTGAAATGAAGTCCTTCCTCCTTGAGATAGCAGGCTAAAATGCCGCTAGCACCATCAACGCGTTTCGCCCCAGTAAATTAGGCTCTCTCAAGATAGGTGCCACGGTTGATCTTAAACATTATCCCATGCCCTGCTCGGAATATTCATGATCCTTAAAGGTATATACCCTTTGTACTAAGTGTCAGGATTACAATTGACCCAACACGCAGTATTAGTATCACAGAAATAAGGATAACGTCTAACCGGACCTTAGAATGGCTGGACCTAACGTACCAGAGAATAGTCGAAATACTAGACGAGGTCAGGAGCACAGAACGAAACACAGTTGCAAGGAATAGCCAATAGTCAGGGACACCAGAATTCAGGGAAGTCAGAACGAAGCCAAAGTCAAATTCCAAAGAAACACGATCAGGAACACACTCTCGGATAACCAGCAAAGGGAAACGAGTGAAAGAATAACAGTGTGGATCCGCATCAACTGGTGTCCACCGGCATGTCGTAAAATCCTGGCCTTATGGCATAGGTCCGCCGAGCAGCACTTTTCCTATTCCTGGAAAGGTGATTATTGTTGTGCATAGCATATGTAGAGGATGTATACATACCATTAAGGCAGAATTATATTCTAAATGTGTATACTTTTCAAAGTGTGGGGGGTTAACATACAATTCTGATCTTATTCATTATACATACAATAGGTGGAACACACATCTGTAGAATCTAAAAAACAAGTTAGAACATCATAGTGTAATATATCAAAAATAAACTGTAATAAATGGAAATAGAGCAATATTACTCACAAGCCTAGAGCCAATATAAACATATGGCTCTTATGTGCAGCTCAGTGGGACTTTTATTTGGATGTGCCCATCCCTCTTGGTATTCCTCCTTTGGTGATAGGGTGATGATAGAAGATCACAATATTCCAATCTGTTTCCAATGAGGGAACTTTATTGTGAAAAAACAATCAGTATAAAAAGATAAGGAAATAAATATTCCCAATAAAAATAAAAGTGTAGACAATAAGTCCAATTAAAAGTCCAATATGTAGACTGTAGTAGTCCAAAACGCGTTTCGCCCTATGGTGGGGGCTTCCTCAGTTGGCATCAGTCTGTGTATCGAATGGCTGGTTCTTGGCGTCCTTATGAAGCACTCTTCTTCTTTACTTCCGGGTTTTCTACGTTTGGAACGCATCATGCGTTCCACCGCCGGTTTCCTGTGTATTACTTCCGGTCTGGCGTTGCGCCGGCGTCATCATGTGCGTCACTTCCGGTTTCGGTCTGTGGGACGCCTCTATAATGTCACTGGAACGCATAGAATCGGATCTATGCGTTCCACTGCAAATAACTATGCCTTCTATTATGTCTTTTGATCGTTCAGCATCTCTAAATGATTTTTCAATATATCATTGCCTCTAATACATTGTATATGCACAAAAAACAAAAATATACATGTTATTTAATCACCTCTTGTATATTGTACATGCATAGAAAGCAAAAATATACATATTAATTAGTGAGTGAGTTGTTATCACATAATAAGTTTATATAGGTGATAGTGGATTCATGCCAGTGACATCATTCCATATAAAAGGTGACAGTACATAGCAACATATGAAGAAATAAGTGGAATGTGAAAAATATACAGAATATATATATTAAAAATATATATGTTGAAGATAAAAATATAAAAATTTATAATATGCAAATAGGACTAAAAATAAATATTATATGGTAAAATTAGGGCTAAAATTCAACCTTAAAAATTAGATAAAATGACAAATTTCAAAATCTGAATTAAGACCATGGGGAATTAAAGTGTTAAAATTAAAAATAAATTTCATTTCTTCCGAGCCTATTTTTTTATTGTAATCTCCACCTCTCCAATCTTTTTTAACCGTTTTAAGTGGACAGAAAAAGAGATGTTCTGGATTAAGGTTATGATGTAATTTGAAATGATTGGAGACACTGTGGGTTTCAAGACCTTTTTTGATATTTCGGACATGTTCAGATATTCTGACGTTTAAATTCCTAATGGTTCTCCCTATATACAATAGGTTACAGGGACATTTCAATAAGTAAATTACTCCTTTTGAAAAGCAGGTAAGTTGTTCTTTTAGAATAAAATCAATTTTCGTATGTTCGTTAAGATTCTTTATATGTCTTTTCGGGTTTTTAGTTGTTCTACAGGCTAGACATCCCACATCCGAAATAGCCTTTACTCTGATTTAGAAAATGTGATGTATTTTTAGTTGGGCCCTCACTACTATGCATTAAAGATCTTTTTAAATTGGCTGCTCCTCTATAAATGATTTTAGGTCTTGTTGGTAACACATTATGTAAAATCGGATCTTTTTGTAACATGTACCAATGTTTGTTAATAATTCTATTTATTTTTTTATTATTCCCGTTGAAATTGCATATAAAATGGGCTTCTTGTGTATTTAAATTTTTTTTGTGATGTTGTTTATAAGTTAGTAGCTGTTCTCTAGGAGTATCTTGGATTTCTTTCATAGCTCCAATTAGTTTTTCCTCTTCGTAACCTTTTTCTAGGAACTGTTTCTTAATATTTGCTTGATTGATATAGTCGTGTTCATTCGTACAATTTCATCGAATTCGTAAAAACTGACCTTTTGGGGCGTTTTCTAACCAGGGTGTGTGGTGACAACTCTTTTTATCTATGTATCCGTTGGCGTCTACAGGTTTGAAAAAAATTTTAGTTTTAATTTGACGATTCTCAATAAAAATTTGAAGGTCCAAAAAGTTGATACTGGTGGGGCTATGTGTGGTGGTAAGAACAATTCCCCATTTGTTAGTTGACAAACAAGCTAAAAACATATGTAAAAGGTCTATTGTGCCATTCCAGATTAAAAAAATGTCATCTATATATACCATGACAATCTAAGTAGAACAAAGAGGACGTCCTCGTACAGATTGAAAGAAGGAGGAGAACACGAAAAAGAGGAGAGATATCCTCCTAAAAGAGATAATCCTGATACAGGGAACAGAAGCAATACTCATTCCGATCTCAGCTCGAAAAGCTATCCAATTAAAGAACAAAGAAGAAATGAGAAAGATAGCAAACATTATGATGATACAACAAGATCGATACGAATTAGGGAAAGAATATCAGAAGATCATCAAACTGCACTAGCACCTTCATCCTCGGTTTTTTGGAGGGAACCAATCCAAGAGAGACTCAAATGGCAAGAGAAACCTCCATCATGGGAATCCCCAGGCAAACGCCAGAGACCGACAGATTACGACTCAGAAGAGGAAGAGATAAGAAACAAAGGAAAAAGAGGGAAGAAATAAATTCAGATGGAATTTTTAACCTCACAGACCATATTTTAACAAATGAAGAATTAAAAGTTTTAAAAAAAAGGTCTAAAATTTGCGCCTACACAGGAATTGAATAATTTTGAGGTATTCATTGATATGAATAAATTTTTAAGAAAATTATGTTTAAAAAAAATGTTTTATCATGGAGGGGAAAACATAACACAGATAAGACAAGACCAGGATAATCAATCCAACTTCATACATACGGATTTAAAACAAAAATCCAACTTCTTTCCTAAAAATATGATTTCAAACGAAATGAGAGCTTTTGAAACCACAGTTATGACAGAAATAAACAAAATAAAAAAATTAAATAAATATCAAAATAATATGTCAATACAAGAACGAAACACAAAAAAATTACGATTTAGTGATCAAATCAGCAGATAAAGGAGGAGGGATAGTAATCCTCTCCAAAGCACAATACTTGACAGAGTCAGAAAGAATTCTCTCTGATGAGAGCACTTA